TCACAGTTGCCTTGGCTTTCCTGCCACAACTCACACAACTTTGGTCAAAGGAGGACCCTGCTGGCCCTCTGGAAGGGTTGGGGGCACCCGTGGGTCCCCTTGCGCGCCCTCAGAGCTGCTAGTGTAAAAGCACAGGAGTGTGTATGTGTGTCCTTACTCCCTCCCACCTGCCGTCTGTTGGGTGGCAGGAGTGTCCTGGAAGGTGAGCTCAAGCCGCTCTGCTCCTGGCCTTGGGACTGAGCTCTGCCCACCGCAGGTTAGAGACGTGGCTCAGGGAACCTCTGGGGAGACGGCTGAGCCCGGGTGCGCCCAGGTCCAGACCTGACGCACAGGCTGTGGGTGGTGGTCCTTCTCAGGGTCCAGGGGCTTGCTCTTCTGCCTGCCTGGCAGTCTGCCCTGCCGGCTGGCCCTGCTCCCTCTGCGCCCTGTCCCCTTGGCGTGGCCTCTCCATCTCGAGGTCATCTGGTCAGCAGCACCCTGAGAAGCCCCTTCACCCTGGAGGGAAACAGGCAGAGGTTCTGGGGGTTAGGACGCGACAGCCTCGTGGGGAACAGGTTTCATTTCTCAGTGTTCTTGGACAGATTGGTGGTCTCAGCTGTATTTCTTGCTGTGAGTCTGATCAGAGGGCTGATGATGGTAGAATTCTGAGAGCTGGACCCAGACCCAATTCTGAGGGAGGACCAGAATCAGGCTACAGTGAGCAGCAATGTCTGGCTGTGGTGGGTACCAGAGTCAAGCTCTAGTGAGATAGAGTCAGGGTTTAGTGGAGACTAGTGTGAGGGTTTATGAAAAGTAAAGTTAAGGTTTAGCGAAGAGTAAAGGTAGCCTTTATTAAGGACCAGATTCAGACTGTTAGTGAGCACCAGAGTCAGGCTGTAGTGAGGGCCAGAGTCAGGTTTTAGTGGGGGAACAGAGTCAGGCTATATTAAAGAGCGGCCTCAGGCTTAATTGAAGACCAGATTCTGCCTTTAGTGAGGACCAGAGTCAGGCTTTCGTAATGAACAGTGTCAGGCTTTGTGAGGACCAGAGTCAGGCTATGGTGAGCAGCAGAGTGAGGCTGTAGTGAGGACCAGAATCCAGTGCTAGTGAGAACCACAATCAGGCTTTAGTGGGAAAAAAAGGTGGACCCGGGAGTCACGAAGGGGCTGCTGGGATCCTCGGGTTTGGGGGTCTGCTGGGGCCTCCTCAGACTGCGGGTGGAACCAGGGCCATCGGGGGCTGCCTGGGCCGGAGATGTGGCACACCACCTGACGGGGCGTCGGGCCTCGTTCAGTGTCTCCCACTGGCTTCCTTGCGTCCGAGTGGCGACACCCCTGGCGGAGGACCGGGTGCCGCGTCTGCAGGGGAGGACCCCTCCCGAGCCTGCGTGGCCGGTGCCCTAGGGTTTGGCTCTGCGTCCTGAGGAGCCTCATCGTGGAGCCCGGGGCCTCCTGGCTGTAGCCTTTGCTTTGACTCTCCCAGAGCTGGGTGGGGGTCCTGGGTGGGGGCGGGTCACCCCCGTGTCCCCCTCCAAAATTTGGTCCTCAGTCTCTGGGGGTCTTCTAAAGGCTCTGCATTTTGGAGCCCTTGGAAATACTGGCTGGTGGCCCCATCTCGGAGACAATGAGCTGGTGTCGTGACACCTAGTGGCCTTGTCCCCGGCCTGCTGTGCAAAGTCCTGCGCTATTTTGAATCTCCAGACATGTTTGAATCTCGAGTTTCCATTTCTAATTCCCTGTTGTCAGCCACTGATGTGACCTGACATATTGTCACGTGGACGTCCCAGTGGCTGCCTCCCTCTGCAAGTGCCCTGGTCAGCCTCCCCGGGATGGGGCGGCCCCTACAACAGAGCCGCATAGGACCCTGCCCCCCACCCCAGCCCCAAGCACAGCATCTGGGCTGCCCGTGTGGGCATGTGCATGTGTGCGCACCTCCTGGGTTTTAGGTGCATGGGGAGCCGGTGCTCAGGCTGATGCTGTCGGGCCTCTAGGTCTCATGTCGCTGTGTGCCGGGGGCAGGCTGGGGGACGCCGTCTGTCCCCCATAGGGTCGGGGCGGAGTGTGGCAGCGACGGCTGTGAGGTAGCAGAGGGGCTGCGGGCCTGGGTGCTGCCTGAGGGAGGGTCAGACCACAGCACAACGTCAGGGCGGAGTCCCTTCTCTGGAGGCTGCTGGGCACCTCCCTCCAGGACCACCACTGGCCGTGGTTCCAACCCGCGAGCAACCTAGTGAACCAGACCCTGCAGAGTCCCAGCCACCTGTCCTTCTGAAGGGTGGAGGTCTGGGCCCAGCCCCTCCTGACTGCATCCTACCCCAGCGGAGAGGCCCCTCGGCAGGGCCGTCCTGCACCCGTTGGGCTGATCAGAGAGGCGCGAAGACCGGAGCACTTGCCCTGCAGGCATTTCTCAAACTTGCCAGAGAACACTCTGCTGGCCGCTGATCAGTGCTGATTCCCAGGCCCTGGCCTGTTCAGGGCCTCCACCGGCTTGGGTGATGGGATGTGGCTGTCCCGGAGAAGAGTGCTCTTGGGAACTAGGAGCTGTCACAGAGAAACTCCCTTCTAAGTTGTCCCTGGGGCGGCTGGGAGGCCCAGAGTCAGTGCTCTCAGCTGCTGCCAGCGTGAGCCAGGTGAGGGCAGGCCTGCGGGTGAGGCTGGACAGGGGTCGGGGGAAGCCTGGTTGTGGATGGCGGCTGTGAATGCACTAAGCCACAGGGCTCCCTGCACCAGCTTGAGTATGGCTGGCCGTGTCCCTCCTGTGAGGACAGCTGTGGGGGCAAGGCTGTACCTCCAGGGATACTGCTGGGGCTCTGCCTGGGGACCCTCACCTTCTCCTACACGCCCCGACATGCAGGGCCAAACCCTCGGGGGTGCTCCTGCACTGGCCGGTCCCCTCTGTAGCTCCTTCCCCTTTGGTGGAGACCATGCAGCTCCAGACTCGGGGCTGCGAACTGTGCGCTGAAGTTCTGCCTATTCTCCAATCCCTTTGCATTGGGACCCGCGGCTGCTGCCCACCCCTCCCACCCCTCAGGAGACAGCCTGGCCAGCGGAGCTCCTGTCACCTGGCATGCTGGCCCATGTAAATGAGTCGCTGCTGACCCCTGGTGCCAGGAATGTCCATATGCAGTGATTCCTGGTGCCAGGCTGTGCCCAGGGATGTGCAGGCAGCACTGGCCCCGGGGTGCTCAGGGCTGTGGAGAGTAATGAGGGTGAGGTTTGCACACCACTCTGGGTGGGCGGCCCAGTTAGGAGGAGCTGAGGGTGGCCTGTGGCCTTGAATGTGGACCGCACGCTGTGCGTATGGTGTGTGCAGTGTCATCTGGTCAGACCTGGCCTCGGGAGGCGAAACTGGCTCAGTGTGGAGGGGCGGCCAAAGGCAGGAGGGCAGTGAGCAGGGGATGGCCAGGCAGGGCCGGCTTCGTGGAGGCCGTGAGGTGGGGGGGGCCTTTCTTTTCCCTGCCGGTCCTTTCACTCCCCCAGCTTATCTGATCACCTGCTCCTCCCCAAGGCCAGGTGGCCAGGAGGCAGCGGTCAAGGCAGGTGAGGCCGGTGGGGGCGGGGGAAGGAGATAAGAAAATAAAACCAGGAGATCCCAAGAGTGACTGCCCTTCTGGGGAGAGGACCAGGTGTTAAGATGCAGGGTTAGGGAAGGTCTCTAAGCCACATGACAGGAGCAGCCCTTCACAGGAGCAGATGCGAGGGGGGCTGGAGCAGCGTGAACAGGGCTTTGGGAGACGGCATGGCGGCTACCTCCGTGCAGCAGGAACCCTGAAGGCCTGAAGCCAGGCGTGCCGCCATCTGGTCTCCCAGCCACTCGTCCTTGCAGTGAAGGGCGGTCGGTGCTGGCCGGGGCAGTGGCCAGTCCATCAGATGGGATGCAGCTGGAGGCACCTGTTCCTAGAAGTTGAAAGGTTTGGAATTGGTGGCTGGGGGAGAATGGAGGCGACCTGGGAGCCAGAGCAGGCAGAGGTGGGTTTGGTGGAATCACAGTTGCTGTGACAGTGAGGTGTGAGTAGACATGCAGATCCGTGCGTGCACAAGTGCAGGGCGGAGATAGGGTGGGAGTTCAGTCTTGGATGAGTCAGGGCCTTTGAGGGACATGTAGTGGGGGCACAGGTTGGGCCGAGGGGCATGGCTGGGCTGGAGAGAGGTAGGGTCATGGGAACTTACATGCCCGCCCAGGAGAGTGAATGGAGAGCTGCGAATGGGGGTGGTGGCCCTGAGCCCTCATAGTTGGAGGTTGTTCAGGAGCATCATGGCTTCTGGAGATTGGTGTCCCTGGGTGGCGACTGTGGTGGTGGTAGCGTTCTCAGGGAGATGGGGGTGACTCGAGGCAGGGTGTGGGAAACGGGGGGGTCCTAGGAGAGTGGGTGGACCCAGCACTGGGGACCTTGGCTGGGCAGAGCTTGGCCTGGTCAGCAGTTCAGGCCTGGGGCAGGGGTCGGAGGTCGGCTCTGGGCCCTCAGGAGGGGCTCTGGGATCCTGCAGTGCACCACACTCAATCCGTAGGCATGGACCCTGAGGCCCTTTTCCGAGTGGTGCTGCCTTCCACTCATGCAGTGAGGGGTGGGAGGGTGGAGGATGCTGATCCCATCCTCCTGCTTTGAGCCTCTGTGCTCATCAGCACACAGGGACATTCACCCTGCCTGAGGTTTAATGGCCTCTGCCTCATGTGGTTCCACTCAGAGGCGGCACCTCAAAGTCTGTGAAAGTGAAGCACTGGGCCTCCCCTTCCCCAGCCTGGGAGGGCAGGGGTGGGATGGTCTTCACAAGGGGGGCATCTACCAGGAAGCTAGCTGGCTCCCTGGGGGCCCTGACCAGCAACTCTGGTCACACCCTGGTACTTAGGGTCAGCCGAGAGCTAGCGGGAGGGGGCTCTTCTTGTCCTGACACAGGCTCCTCAGCCTTCTACCACTGAGGACTGGGTGGGATGGAACTTGCCTTGGGCAGGAGTGAGTCTGGGTGTGTGGCAGGAAGGCCTTTCAGATATTTGGAGGGAGAAAAAGGCCAAAAGTCAGGCCTCACTTTTTTTTTTTTAATTGCAGAAGGCTGCTGGGTATGTTGTATTTGAAAAAGACATTGTGTACTTCAAATCAAGGGACACCAGGCTGGAGGAAGCCCACAGACACCCAGCTGCCAAGTGCCAAGACCACAGCCGGATTCCTTGCTTGGGTTTGGGCCAGGTCATGGTCAGCCATGGCGCATGCAGCCCCCACAGCACCAGCAGGGCAGACTGGGAGTGGGGTGGTCCCAACCTCATGCCCACTGCCCCAACTTCGTGCCCACTGCAGCCCCCACAGGTGCCTGCTGCTCCCAGTCCAAGAGCTGGCTCCTCATGACGCACTGTCGGCTTGGGGCGTCGGCTGCCCATCTCCCTTCTGCCCCCATTGGCCTTGGCAAGCACGGTGCTTCCATCTCTGGATGACTCGGCGGCCTGTGACCCGACAGGTGGCATCCAGCGATCAGCACTGAGCATGTGGAAGAGCTGTGAGCTGGCCAGGATGAAGCGCTTCTCTTTGGCATCTGGTGCCCAAACGAGAGCTTCTGGCTGGGTCCTGGAGGGCAGCAGTAGACCAGGAAGGCCAGCACCTGCTCTCCCTGTGCCCCAGGGGCCCGGAGCAGTGCCATCAGGCCCGATCCTGGCCGAGATCCAGCTGTTAAGGCCACTAACCATGTGACTCTGGCCTGCTATGGCCTGTGTGTACTCAGGTGCGGTGCTGGCCCTATGTGCGCCCACCCCGTAGGGCCCTCTGCTCAGAGAACTAGGCTGCTCCACCACTGTGCTCAGCAAACTGAACTTTTTTTATTAAGTGCCAAGGTCCAGGCGGGCGCTGCCCCCTGCAGCCCCTCTGCCAAGGCATGTGCGTGGTTTCCCCGGCCCCTTCAGGGCAGCAGCAGTCGGGCGCTCACTTTACGTGCTCGGCTGCGTGGGAGGAGCAGTAATACTTTTTGTGGGCGATGAAGGTGGACAGGCTGCTGAACCTGATGTTGCACAGGCGGCAGTACCTGTGGTTGCCGTTGGGCACGGGGGCCGGCGATCCCTGGCTGGGGGTCTGCACGCCCTTGTCCGAATGCGAGGGAGGTGCCGGCACCGCCTCCGGGGACGCGGCTAGGGGCGGGCCGGGCCGGGGGCTGCTGGCAGGCGGCTCCTGCAGGTCCTGGCCGTTGAGGCCATCGCGGGGAGCAGCGGGCGAGGGCGTCCGGGCCTCCGCGCTGGGGCCGATTAGGGGCTTGCCCAGCAACAGCCCGTGCGCCAAGCGGAAGTGCTCGATGAGGTCCCCGCGCACCACGCCGTTCGGGGGGCAGTAGGGGCAAACGACGGCGGGCGGGTCCTCGGGGGCCGCACGCAGGCGGCGTGGGGCGGCGGGGCACGAGAACTTTTTGTGCGCCAGGTAGGCCTCGAGGCTGTGGAAGCTCACGCGGCAAGCGGTGCACTCGTGGTAATCGGCCAGGGCCGCCAGGCCAGGCGGAGGGCCGGGGACGGCTGCAGCAGCCTGGCGTCGCGGCTTCTTACTTAGGTCGATAGGGCCCTCGGCTGCGTCCAGGCCGCTTCCGCCTCCACTACCGCTTCCGGGCCGCGGCGACGCGGGAGGTGTGGGGGCGGGTCCGGGTGGCGTAGGGGCGGGGCCTGGCGCGGAGGGAGGGGCAGATCCGACCAGGGGCGGGGCGGGCCCGGCCGCGTGCAACTCGTAGAGCTTGCGGCGCCTGCGCGTGCGCACTGGCTGCGCCGAGGGCGCGGGTGTCCCGGCTGGTGCTGGGCGACGCGGCGGTGGGTCGTGGCGCGAGGCGCAGTAGTAACGCTTGTGCACCGTGTAGGTCTCGTGGCGGCTGATGCGTCGTCGGGCGGCCGGCGGCCAGAGCAGTAGAGGCGCTTGTGCACGTAGAAGTTGTTCACGTTGTTGAAGGTGATGTCGCACTCGAAGCACGTGGCGCCTTTGGGGGCCCCCGCGAAGAGGCCGGCAGGCGCGCCCACCCCTGCACCCGCCTGCAGCCGGCTGTGCACCAGCTCGGACATCTTGGCCAGGATCTCAGAGGCCGGTGGCGCCGCTGGCAGGTGCGGCAGGAACAGTGCGCTGGGACCTGGGCTGGAGCCAGGCGTGGGGCTGGACAGCTCTGCTTTCACCCGCGCGGGGCCAGGGCTAGGTGGTGACGGCGTTCGTGAAGGGGCGAGGGGCCCTGGCTCTGCCTCGGGCTCCTCCGCTGCCTCCACCTTGATGCTCCTGGGGGTCGCTGGGGGCTCGCCGCCGCCCCCGTTCTGGGGACCCGCTCTAGCCTCTCCATTGGTGGCCTCGGCCAGGGCCTTCCTGTCCACTCCTGGCGAGGGGGCGGGCGCCAGGCCTAGTTCGGCAGAGGCCAGGGGGCCGTGCAGTGCCGTGTGCTGCTGGAAGGTGGCCAGACTGTCTGTGGGGAGAGCCCAGGGGCCACCTGTCAGGGCTGGAGCAGGACCTGCCTGGGCCAGACCTGAAGCGGGGAGGGTGAGAAGGGAGAACGGGGCCGGGCAGACGTGGTACAGAACCAAGTCTGAAACTGCCACCCCTCTTCCCAGTTCCCAGGGCTCACCTGTGGAGAGCTTGGCAGTGGGGTGGCCCGTCCCTGGTGAGTAGACCTCGGCCTTAGAGCCTGGCTGGCAGACCATGTGGTTGGTCACCAGGTGGCTGTAGAGGATGTCCCTTGTGGTGGAGATGAAGCCGCAGCTGTGGCAGACTCCTGCGAAGGGGCCATGGAGTCAGGGCCCTAGGCGCCGGGCCCCACCGACCTCGCCCACGGCCTCCATCCCCACCCTGCTTACCGGTCAGCGTGTCTGTGTGCACCTTGAGGTGCCGCTCACAGTTGGCCTTGGTGGTGAAGGCGGACAGGCAGATGAGACACACGAAGGGGCGCTCTCCTGGAACACAGGCCTGGTGAGGGAGCCTCACTGGCCAAAGACCCCTAAGCTCTGCCTCCCAGGACCCTGGGGCCCGTGGAAGGCAGCAGGGAGTGGTAAGAGAACCACCCAGGCACACATGTGGCTGGCATGCAACCCCAGGACAGGCACGGTGAGCCTGGGTGGGAGGACACAGCGTTGGGGGGGTGCTCACCACTATGGCTACGCATGTGGATCTCCAGGGAACTGGCGCTCGGGCAGCTTTTGCGGCACTGGGGGAAGGGGCAGACCCGCTCATTGGGGTAGGTCTCCTTGGGCTTCTCTTCCGGGGCGGCCACGGCAGGGGAGCCAGCACCCTGGCGGCTGGCACAGTAGTAGAGGAGGTGGGCTTGCAGGTTCCGCTCGCTACGGTACCAGATGCCACAGTCTTTGCAGGGAAAGACGTCTTCTGAGGGGACGAGAAGGCAGGGGAGAGTTGGGCCCAGCCTGAGGGGGTGCCCTGGCAGCAGTGTGGCCACCTCCCACCCAGGGCAGGCATGGCCCTCTGCAACATGAGGGCTATGCCGTGGGGTCCTCCAGCTTGGGGGAGTGAGGCCTGTGACTTGGGCTGTGCCTTCTCAGGTGTCCCTTGATGACACCGTGTCCCCTTTCTGTGGCACTCCAGGATGCCATGGGGACACGTGGATGGGGTCCTCCAGGATGGCCCCCACACTGCTTTCCAACAGTGAGCCCCGTGAGGAGATGCTGGGGTCTCGTGGGTGCCCATGGAAGGAGTGTGGTCGGTGGGGACAGGACATGGGGGACGGCCTGGAGCTGGGTGCCCGTGGAGGAAGAGACAGATGGGTGGGCATCCAGGTGCACGTGGAGGGCAGGAGCTGTGGGGGACGAAGAGCGTCCGAGTCAAATACACCCCCCACCTGATGGCTCCATGTGTTACTGGTCAGACTTTGCTGACTTGCCACACTTACCCGCCTGGGCTGCCTCTGCGTTTCCAGTTTATGGGAGTGTGGCCTGTGGGGGTGGACCTGCCAACTGGTGAGGATTTCTCTGATGGGCGCTTCAGCAGCCCTCAGGTTCTCAGAGATCCTTAAGGAATGTCCTGTCGTTTCTGCCCTGCTCTGTGGCTGAACCCAGGGAGGGGGAGGCTTTGTTCTGTGTCCTGACCTTGATGTGGGGTGGAGGAGGCTGGGACCCCTTCCTGGGGTTTTAACTTCTGTAGGTTAGGATGTGTTCCTCACCTCGCTGGTTGGCAGTTACAGAGGGGTGGCTGCCTCCCTACCGCCCGCAGGTGCTGCCAAGTTTCCACCTTCTGCCTCCTTTAAACCAGCAGTCCCCAACCTGTTTGGCACCAGGGGCCAGCTTCATAGAAGGCAATTTTTCCACAGATGGGGGTGGAGTGGGGATGGTTTGGGGATGATTCAAATGCATCACATTTATTGTGCACTTCATTTCTGCTGTTACATCAGCTCCATCTCACATCATCAGATGTTAGATCCCAGAGGCTGGGGAGCCCTGCTCTCAGGAATGTAGTACCTGTTTGTGGGGTGAGGTCATCCTTTCATGCGCAGTATCTGCAGTTTCTCTGGCCCCAACCTTCCCACTGTGTTACCACTGGTTTTCAAGTTCCCTTTTATTTGGGGGCCTCAGAGCAGCTCTGTTCTCTTACCAGCGGAGGCCTGCAGCTGGGATCCAGATCTCTGGGGCTGGTGGTGGGCTTTTGCTATCTGCAAGCTCAGTGCTGGGGGGTGGGGGGCTGGCTGTGGTACGGGGAGGGGTGGGAATCATGGAGCCCCAGGTGAGCCCTAGCCCTGAAACAGCGAGGATGGTCACGGCCCCACTGACCAAGGGTGACCCGAGTCCTGGGTGGACACAGCCCTGTGACCTGCACAGATGCCTTGAGATGGGCATCAGCTCCACTCCTCTCACAGTGAGAAAATGGAGGCTCCAAGCGCTAGTCTCAGGAATTAAACTGGGTCTGATTGACTGTGGAGCTCAGGATCTGAGGACCTTTCTAGACCACCAGCTGGAGACCCACTTGAGGCTGGGTTGGGGTTGGTGTAAACTCGATAGCAAGCCCACCATGGCCTCACAGATGAAACATCAAACTCAAGGGGAGGGAAACGGAGGCCCAGCCAGAGAGGCTGCCTCTGGGCTGGCTCTAGAAGAAGTCCTCCAGCACTGGGGCTCCTGGAAGGCCCCCCTCCAACACAGAGGGGAGACAGGCCCTGCTGGGCAACGGATGCCATTTCCTGCCCTGGTGCAGTGGCCATCCTGGCCCCTTAGAGACCCTTCCATTCAGCCTCCCTCTTTCCTGAAACTTCGGTGTTTAGATGAGACCCCTCTGTGCTCACCACCGCCCTTAGCCCCCTGCAGGACCCATTCTCCCTGGGGCAATGCCTGGCCCTGTCCAGTACAGTCCCTCCATACGGGCTCTGGGCACGGGGCTCCTGCCTGCGCTTGTCCCCCTCCCCTCTGGCGACACCCACCTCACTTGGCTGCAGCTGTTTGGGTCATGGTGTCTGTTCCAGTGTCCGCAGATGCTGTCTCTCCCTGGGGCCTCATGCTGCCCAGAGCTCCCCACTCTGGCCACACCCTGAGTCCCAGCACAGGTCCACTTAGTGCCCAGCAGGCGCCTCGGGTCAGGCTGCTGGGTGGGCCCTCCTCCCTGCCTGTGATGGACGAACAGTGCACGGCCACGCCGCAGCCCTGGCCTCGTGCCGCTGCCTCCTCCCCCAGCAGGCCTTCGGGCTCCAGCGCCTCTCCAGCCTCTGCCTTGGTGCCTCCACCCACTTCAGGTCATCATCATGTTTGACCTGCTTAAGAAGAAGGCCACTTTTCTCCATCTAACAGCCATGCGATTTTAGAACTAAATTGGATCCCTGACTTAACAACTGCATACACACTGCTGCCTGAAAGCCCTCTGCTGAGGTCATTTCTCAGAAGGGACCCCAGCCCTCACGTGGGACCACTCTCGGAATCTTGCTGTGGCCAAGGTGACAGCCTTGCTGGGCCGCCTGTCCGCACAGCTGCTTTCCCTGGTCTGGGGTCTCCCGAGCACCCTGACTGAGGCAGTCCCAGCCAGTGCCCACGTCACTGTTTTTCCCCCATCGTGAACGTGTCCATGGCCACCTGCCTCTGCCCTGGGGGTGGTGGTGGTTCCCTCAACACAGGCAGGCCCCCCCACTGCTTGGTTTGGTGTGGACATCAAACAAGGATTTGAGGAATAAGCAAGTCCAGACCCTCTGCTGGTTGTGGGGACCCTCTGCTTCAGCTGTTCTCACTGGCGGTTTTGTCCCGGGGACACAACCGCGTCCCTCACAACTGGGAGGCAGGGGGCAGGGCCAGCACATAGTGGGTTCAGGCAGGGCCCCTAGGGTGGGCGCATCAGAGACCCCACCCCAGCCCCACAAGGCTGGCTGAGGAGGAGCTGCAGAACCTGTGTGTCCCAGACATGCTAGGTGAAAAGCCCCCTCATCCATGGGCTGCATGCTGGGGCTTTCCCCGGAACCCCATAGCCAGGCCTCCAGGCCTCCTCTAGTCAGCTAACAGACCAGGTGACTGGTCCCTGCAGATCTTAAGCTGGGCACCCCTTGCAGTCTAGAGGGGGTGAGTGGCAGTGGGTTACTCACTGTTGACGACCGCGGTTGCAAGGATGGACGCCATGCCGGCCTGCTGGGGCAGGAGCTGGATGTCGGGGTGGGAGGGGGCTGGGCTCTCGGGCTCCACCGGCTCCTTCTTCACAGGGTGGCTGGGGTTGCTGGGGGGCTTGGCCACCAGGAGCACTTTCAGCTGTCCACCTGCAGGCACCGGCCTGGTGAGCCTGCACCAGAGGGCTTCATCTGCAGGGGAGGGCAGCTGTGACGCGGCAGCCGGCAGCTCCAGGCCACGACGGCCATGCCTCTGCAAAGACTACCCATCCACCCCAGTCTTATCCTCCTGAGCGCCTCTGCACAACCCCATCTTAGGCACCTGGGTTCTGCAGCTGGGCACGGGGGCTGGAGAGAGGCCACACCAGGTGGGCAGCTGTGGCCAGCTAGTTTCCATGGTGCCCCCTGCCTCCTTGGGGCTCCTGAGTGGTCCCCCGGAGTTTGCCTGCTCTTTGGGCCTCCCTGCCCAAGCCTGTCTGAGTGGGAGGGCCCTTTTCCAGGAGAGGGGAGTCAAGCAGCCCGGAGGGCTGGGTAGCCAGCCACTCACCAAGCCCTGGAAAGGACTCACAGCTCAGCCAACATAGCTGTTTCCACAGCGGCCTGCAGGTGGCAGCCTCGGCTAACAGGACTCAGTCCAGCTCAGAGGCTGCTAGGAGCCTGCCTTCCCTAAGAGGCACGACCCCAGGCCACCTTATGAGACCCTCAGGGACCCTTGTCCTACCCAGGCAGATGTGCCCTGCTGACCAGGCCAGGTAGTGCTAACCAGGCCATGTCCCAGTCAGGTGTCCAGGCCCCTAGTTGGTCACCTGCTGCCAACCTGGGCCCTCCACTGCTCTCTGGGCCCTTAAGAGTACCCTCAAGCAGGGAGGAGGGGTTGGGGTCCTCTAGAGAGGGGTACACGGGGGCCATGTTAGCCAGGTCCATGGGTCAGCACAGGTCCCTGGGTGCTGATCTCAACCACCGCTTGGGCCCTCGTGCCCCAGGGACCCCACATGGGGAGGGGCTAGGGTGGGTGCTGGAGCAGCAGCCCAGCCTGGTCCCCTCTTGCCCCCAGGACACTTAATTCATTGTACTCAGGCGATGGTCAGGGGGACACCCCCAGAACATTCTACCAAAGTGGAGCGCCCTGTCGGGGAAGGAGGTGGGTTTCCTGTGGTCAGCAGGCACATGGCCCTTCTAGGTGTCCACGCTGTGGTGGATGGCCATTGCTCGGGTGTAGAACTTGTCATGAGTCTGTCCCCCCACCCACCCTGGGACCAGAGCCTCCATCTGTAAAGGAAGGTCCCCCGCCTTGACACCCAGATCGTCACATACTGGGAAGGCTGGTCTGGGCAGACCCGGGCAGGCAGGACGAGGATACCAGGGGTGCCGAGGACCCAGCCTGCCCCCCTCCCTTGAGGGCCACTCCTGGACGGCACTGGAGGGACATGGGGGCGAGTGCTTTCCTTCTCCTCACAAGACGGAGACCCCACATGGACCTGCTGGCCCCTACCAGACCCGGTAGCCCACCAGGCCTGGTTCCTCTGCTGCCCTGATGGTCTCCCAGAGGTCCTGAGGGCAGTCCTGGCCTCATTGGGGGGCTGTTCCTCCATGCCCAGGCAGACGCCTGTCCAGCCTCAGACTAGCATTGATGGGGGCATGGCAGCAGTGGCCCAGGCAGGCTGCTTTGCCTTTAAGGGCCGCCCCAGGGAGAGCATGACCCCCTCCTCCGGAAGCCATGAGGGAAGCGCCAGGATACCAACCCTTCCGGTAGATCTCCGTGTTGGCCTCGGCCTCGGCCAGGGCCTGGGGCAGTGTCCTCAACCAGCAGGCCTCGTCCTCCAGCAGCAGGGTCAGGGCTGGGCTCTGGGGGCAGGAAGAGGGGTCAGCAAGCACTCAGTCATGCTCCTGGACACAGCAGAAAGAGGTAGGCCGGGAGCATCTCAGGGGCCACGTGGGCAGAAGCTTGAGAGTCCATCCCACGGGTATCTCGTCCAGGCTGCGCCAAGCATCATGCTAGCAACAGGCACACCGCAGGGAGCCGGCGCCTTCCACGGGTCAGGTGTTGGGTTTACTGGGGAACTGAGGCCCAGAGAGATCGAGCAGCTTGCCCAGGGTTGCACAGCCAGTGAGTGGCAGAGTAGAGGCATGCCCAGACCTCCGTTTGCTGCAGCCGCCCCCTCCCGAGTGGGCTGCTACCCCAGGCTCAGGCTCCTGGCGCACAGGTCCCTGGAGTGAGCAGGGGACTGGCCTGGAGGGCACTGGCCTGGAGGAGACGGCATCGTTCCTGTCCTCCCTCTCAGCCCCGGGGTGCGCCGGTGCACCTCTGTCCGGTCCATCCCAGGGCCGGCAGATGGCGGACACACGAGGAACTTCTGCCTGGGCCCAGCAGCCCCACGAGGACCCTGGGCAGCAAGACGTCCCCCTGCCTTGCTGGCTGAGCAGCCAGCCTCCTCGTGGCTCCCAGAGCATGGTCAGCCCCTCGCCCCCACCTTGCTGGCAGCACACTCCTTCCATCTCACAGGTGAGGGAAGGGAAGGGGGCCAGCTCACTCCCTCAGCGGCCTGGCCTGAGAGTCTAGTCTTTGAGGCGCCTGGCAGGGAGAAGTGCAGTACAGAGCTCGCCCTGCCTGGCCCCAGGTGGTTAGAGTGACCACTGCTGCCCGTCAGGCTGCAGCCCCAGGGCTGGGTGGGTTCTGGACTGCTCCTTTCCAGTGGGGTGGCCAAGCTTAGTCCCTGGGTGCCATGTGCAAACTGTGTTGAGCTAACTGTAAGACTGTGTTACCTGCTGCCCCCAGGACGGGGACGTTCGTGTACCCCGGGGCACACGTGGCAGTTGGCCAGGATGCTACGTGGTGGGATGGCTTGGGCAAGTAGCACTTGTGGGGCTCCTCTGACAGGTTGTGGGCACCACCACATCTGGTCCAAGCCCACGGCTTTACTGGGCTTTGCATGCAGGTACCACCCAGAGCTGGGTACTGGGGCGCAGTCCAGACTCCCTGACTGGGAGACTTGGGAGGGCACTGGCCCTCAACGCACAGCGGCCTCACCACACCCCTCTGTGCCTTGTCCTCATGCTGCAGTGGACTTGCGCAGCCCCGCCAGTGGACCGGCTGCACAGCTCAGTCGTGGAACAGTCGAGCGGAGAATAGTCAGCCAGTGGGTTATGGGAGTGGAGCTGGCCAGCACCATGCCCACCCTGCCTGGGCCTCAGCATCTCTGCAGACAGTGATGCCCGGAGCCCACCTGCCCCCTTGACCGACCCTGTGCTGCTGCTTGCTCTCGGGGTGGGTCACGTCCCTCTCTGTGACTCGGTTTCCCCTGGGGCACCGGGCAGTCACCGTCGGTGTGGCGCTCCCCCCACTTTGGACTGCGCCTGCCTGGCAAGTGAAGAACAGGAGCACGGCCACCCTTGCTCCTCCATTCCCTCCTGCCGGCAGGACACAGCGGGCAGGGGCTGTGCCTCCGGGCCCAGGAGGCCACCAGGCTGTTAACCGCCAGACATCAACTGGAGGCGAGGGGCTCCACCAAGGAGCTGGCTTTTGAGGGACTGCCACAGAGCCGGGGGTCTCCCCGCTGGGAGGTTTCTGCCGCCCACAGCTGGGGACAGGCCGGGGCCAAAGTGGAGTGGGTGCAGCAGCACGTGGCCAGCAGCTCCCGCATCCTGGCTGGCCCGACCTAGGCCGGCAGCTCGCGGAGGCGGGGGCCTCTCCGCGTCTCTAATGAATATTAATGAGTGGAGGAGGGAGAAAAAAATTAATCTGCCTGATCCTCTGATGGGTGCTGTGGTAACGATATGAAATCTAATTATTCGTCCCAATATTTCTAAACCCTCAAACTGAGACTGACAGCCTCCCGGTCGGTTTAGTGCTTATCACTCCCGGGAGCGGCGTGTTCGCGGCATGATAAAAGCACAGCCCTGCTGACGCTGCAGAACCCTCGATTCTCCACGTCCGTCCACGCAGAGGGCAGGAGGCATCGCCATGTTCCTGGGGGCTCTGTGCCTCCTGCCAGGAGCCGCCCCTTGCCTGGTGGCTGCCCTGGACTGGCTGGGTGCCCATGAGGGTGGGCGAGGGGCAGGGGACGTGGGGACCCCATGCCTGAATTCCAAGAGGGAGAGGGGCCAGGAGATCCAGGGTTAGGACCCTTCCCCCTCATTCCCTTGGCCCTTAATACTCTGGGGGAGCCTGGCCCCCACTTACATGGGGAAGGCTGAGCCCACCACCCCAGCCTCCCCTCCTGCGCTTGGACCCTAGGGGTGCAGGCACCAGTGCCCCGCCACAGTTCCAGGGAAAGGAGCACGCCTCCACCCACCCTGTCCCAGCAGCTGCAGCTTGCCCCCCACCCAGCCCTGGGCGGTAAGGACAGAGTTCAGTCTCTGCCCCCCCTGCTGTGAAGGGGCTGACACGGTTCGAGCTGCCCTATTCTATCTTTTCTTCTCCCCCTCTGCCCCCACCCTAATTCCAGGCAGTCCTGGGACAGAGCCCTTTTCTCTGGTGGTTGAAGGTCCTGTGGGCAGCAGGGTGTGAGCCTGGCCCTTCTGCCAAAACTATCAGAGACCGGCTACCTCCCCTCCCCGGGTGCCCCCAGGCTCACTGCTGGGTTTGGGTCTAGCTCGCTCTGGACAGGCTAGGTCCAGAGTGAGCAAGAAGCTTGGTATCCCACCCTGCCTTAGCTGTGGGGGTTGCTTGGTCCCTTCCTGACTAGGCCTCCCCACCCAGCCCCGGGATAGCGGGCGGCCCCTTTAAATTCTCTGGGTGCATCTGAGAACCCTCCTTGTTCCCCCAACAAAGAGGTCAGTGTCTGGGTTCTCTGCCCGCCGATAACCATCAGAAACCCTATCTCCACCGCATCCGCTGTGACAGCCATATCTCAGGCTGTTCCCAAACCTGCCTTGCGTCCGTGAAGCAGTGTCCAGGGGCGGTGGGGTCCTGGTTCAGGGAGCCAGACGGCCCATGGAAGGCCAGGGGTGCAGGCTGTGGTGGGCTCTGATCAGGCCTGCACTCCTGTCTTGTCGGTCCGTCTCACTCACCATTGCCAGAGGCATCCCCACCTTGGGGGCGGCTCAGGTGTGTCAGGCGAGAGAGGCACCAGGGACCCACCGTGTGCCTCGCCCGGGCTGGGTGTCCTCCCTTAGGGATCACTCCCTACGGCAGCCGCAGGAAGAGGGACCTCACCGGGAGGGCACTGGACCTCACCGGGAGGGCACTGGTCCGGTGCACTGCGGCACCCCACCCTCTGGCCAGGGCTCGTCCTGCTGAAAGTTTGGCTCTGCCTGGCCATGACCACTGATGACAGCCTTTGGGCGGGGGGGTCCCATGGGGAGAGCCGCTCAGAGGCTGTTGTTCCCGATGGCCCAGCCCCATCTGTGTGGAGCCAGCTGACCTCATGTCAGCCTCATGGGCAGGGACTGCCTGCCCAGACTTGCTGCTCCTCCAGAGGGTCCCTCCTGCCTTTCACAGATGTCACGGTGGCCTTGCAGATAAAGTGGATGAGCTCTGGGAGGGCAGCTGGACAGGTACATGGATGGGCCAGGTTAGTGCAGGTCTGCTTGTTCATTCATCCATCCACCATCCATTTACCCTTTCACATAGTTACATACCTACCTATCCATCCATTCACCTACTCATCCACCCATCTTCTACCCACAGATTCACTCACCTATCCATCCTTCACTTGTCCATCTATCTTCCATTTATCCATCCACTATCTACTCATCCATTCACCATCCACCTGCCCATCCATCCGGCACTCAACCTTCCATCTGACATCTACTTATACACACATCCATCCATTTATCCATGCAGTGTCCACTCAACCTTCCATCCATCCTCGTCCATCTATTATCCTTCCTCTATTATCCATTCACCTTTTGCCCATACATCCAGCACTCAACCTTCTACCCAACATCTATCTGCCTGTACAAACATCCATCCATCCCTCTACCTATCCTCCACTCATCATCCTCTTACCCGTCTACATATCTGCCCACCACCCATCCTGAACATTTGTTCTGCATCTGAGTACACGTTTTACACTGCTGGCCTCCAACCCCTGGGTTTTCAGCAAAGGCCACAGTTGCATCCTGGGGTACCTTGAGGTCCCACAGTGAACCGACTCGACTCCTGGCAGGCTCTGTGCGCTGTGTCCTTTCCTCGGTCCCATCCCCAAGGCCCGGCATGTGCAAGGACGCCACCGTGCCTCCCCTCCACTCTGCAGGCAGCCTAGGCCCAGGGTGATGGTGGGAAAGTGCTGCCGAACTCTGGAGTTGCCCCTCTCCCACTTCGTCCTCCAAACAGCAAAGACAAGCTACATGGCGGGCAACGGGACGGTCTGGGGTGGGAGGTACGCGGGGGAGAGAGCTGGGCCCATCAACTGAACTCGATAAGGGGCCCGCTGGAACACTAGCGAAAATATTTAGACAATAAATGAAGTATCGGAGAGGCACGCGTATCTTTAAGAAATCAATCATCTTGTACGTGTGTCTGGACACTTGGCGCCAAGGCGGAGATAGCGCCTGCTGGGGAGATAAGGGTTAATCAAGGATTTAATTCTGCAAGAGATAAAGTCGCAGGCCGAGCGGGCAGCCCTTCCTCCCTGGGCTCCTCTGCGCGAGTCTCAGAGGAGCGCTCCCTGGACACTATCTCCCTGCCTGGAGAGGGTTTCCAGCCTCACGCCAAGTCTCCCCAGGCTGACCTGTGCCCTGGGCCCAAGGAGTACAAGAACCTCTAGAGGGGAGGCTGCCGGCGGGAGGGGAGGGTCGGGGGTGGGGGTGCAGTGGGGATCTTGGGGCTCCACTCCCCCAGCCCCACCTTCAGGGGTCTCTGCTCTTTGGTCCTGGTGACTGCATCACGTTACCTCCCCTTTTGGGCCTCAGTTTTCTCATCTGGACATTGGGAACAGCAGTGCCTCCCTCCAGCAGGGAGAAAACGAGGGGCCAAGTCTAAAGACGGGTGCCTAGAGTTGTGTCTGGAACACCCAGCTGTCCCTTGGAAGGAGGAAGGAGCGGAGGGAGAGGTGGGGCCTGGCTCAGGACAGACGGAGGGCGCCAGTCAGCCTGCCCTGGTGCCATCACCACTACGGCTTTTCTCGACACTTGAGAGTTGAGATGTGACAGTCACAGAGCTCCCACCAACACCCCCCTAACAGCTACCCTCTCGAGGGTAGGCTGCTACTTGCATCCCTCCAGTGACAGGGAGCTTCTTGCCCATAGAAACTGCGGTAAGCACCACAGCCTCAATCACACAGTGGAGCCAAAGTCTGGCTCCTTCCAAGGAGCTGAAATCCACGCTGGAGCTCTCGCTGCTTCCTACCTGCTTGGGGCCTTGGGACAGGAGGGTCACCCTCCACAGGGTGCCGGCCATGCTGCCCTGGTGGTGTGGCCTGGGGTAATCACCGCACGTGTATCACCTCATTTAACCCGCCCAGCAACTCCGGGAAGCTGGCTTCCCCGCCTTACAGACGAGCTGCAGCTCTGCCACCCTCTTCACTGCCGGGAGTGCAGGCTCAGGCCTCAAGGACCCTACAGGACTCCCGTGTGTCCCCCGGAGGTTCCCCGGGCTGAGGAGAGAACAGCTCAGAGAGGTGGGGCACACGGCAAAGCGGCCACAGGGTGGGAGACCCCAGGGTCTGACCCTGTGCCATGGGAATGGCCTGGCCTTGAAGGTGGGCGCCCTGCGTCCTGGGCCAGCCTCCCACCACCTCGCTGAGCCGTCTCCAAGCTCCTGAAGCCCGGGTTCCGATTCTGAGACCTCTGACCCAGCGTGACCCATGCCCAGGCTTCACTTCTCACCAGCATGGCTAGGGGCCGTGAGCCACTGTCAGAAGGGCATGGCTGGGGATCCTGCCCACGCTTCCAGCCAGCCCTGCTGCAGGCCCTGTGCCTGGGCCTGGTTCCCTCTGCAGAGAAACGGGCTCTGTTGGGTTGGAGCTGATTAGGGCTGTGGGGAGGGGGAGAGGGGCAAGCCCACCCTCACGGCCCCGCACTGCCACTGAAGGCCGACCAGAGGCCCAGCACCACAGGGCACCTGCCAGCACCCCGGATCCAGCCTCACCTGAATGCCACACTAGCAATCACAAGGGCCCAGGTCATGGCTCCGCCTGCACGTGCAGGGTGCTGGGCCCTGGACTTGGGTGAGCTAAGCTGGGTGCTGCCTGGCCTTCCAGGCCAGCATCACCACGGCTGGAGATGTTTCCCGAACACTCATCATGCACAGCCTCCCTCCCCACCCCATTCCCATCACAGCAGGTGCCCACTCCACCACCCACATACCAACCCACACAGGTTCTAAAATGAGCACTTGTGCCCCCTGCGAGAGGACGCCGCACAGACTCGCCTTAAGGACAGGGCACCTCAGAAGTGGCCCTGAGACAGGGGACATGTTGCCCAGTGGTCATCAGCCGGCACTGGAGGCACTCGGGCACCGACAGGGCCTGCTCCCTGTCGTCGGGAGGACCCACAGGCACGGGAAGGGACGTGTCGCTCGCCCTGGGTGGCAGCTGTATCCAGAAACCCACCTCACTGTCCACTGGGGGTGGCCCCGTCCCTGAAATCCAGTGCCGGGGGCAGCGCCGCCTGCCTGCCTGGGCACAGGCCAGGCCCGGCCTCAACACTTGGTTCCTTGTTGCTTCCTCCCCTCAGATGCCCTTCCCTTTCTCTGCCTCACCAGCGTCTACTCCGTCACCGAAGGCCGGCGTAAAGAACCCTGCCCCTGGCAGCCCTTCCATGGTCACCCTGAGGGCTACAGCTCCACACCGCCCCCCACCAGGCAGCCCTCCTCTTGTCACCCTGAGGCCCCATAGGCCCTGCACCACCTCTTCCAGGCAGCCCTCCCTGTGCTCCCACAAAGTTACCTCTTCCCTTCCCTCCTGGTCCCAGCACCTCATATCTGCATCTCCTGACCTGTTTCAAGTAGAGAGGCAGGAGCTCCTGGGCGGGGGTCTAGCCCAGGCTTGGACACTGCCTTGGCCTATGTGGCTGAGATTGGACTACTTACCAGTTCTGCCTGTCCGGGGGACGAGGCTCTGGTCTGGATGCTCCCGCGGAACGGGCCCCAGGACAGGCCCTTGGTGAGGCTGCACCGAGCCCGCACGCACCTCTGTCCATCTTGCAGCAGCGGCTCCAGCTCGTCTATAGGGAGAGATGTCAGAGGTGTGAGGAAGGCCCATTGCCCAGGTTCAGTCCATCCTTGCAGCCCCCCTCACCCAGGAGCATTCGAGGGACTGAGGGTAGAGGAGGGCGGGCAATGGGTGGGTGGCCCTGTGGCCTGGCCCAGGTTACAAGGGTGGTGCTGGGTCCTGGGAGCCAAGCCAGACCCCATGCTCAGACCTTTTATGGGGGATGGCAGGCTGCAGCAACCAGACAGCGAGGGGCGCCTGCCACTGGATCTGAGCAGGTGGGCGCACAGCTCGGGGACCACGCCTGCCACATTGGGATGCGTGTGCCTTGCACAGCTCAGGACGGGCACACAGAGCTAAGTCACCCCCTCTGCCTTACATGGGGGCGACACTGCCAAGGATGATGATGCCGACAAGACCCACCTCCCATCCCACCACGCAGTCCTCCTGGCTGTCCCGAGATCTGCAGAGCGCACCTGTGCAGGCAGCGGTGGAAATGCTGGTTTCCCACTGTGAGGCAGGGATGGCATACCTCCCACCTCCTGGGGTTGGGGTGAGGTTGAGTGAGTCAGTCCTCTTAGCACCTGAGCACAGGGCCCAGCAGGAGAGCCAGGCCAGGAGCTAAGTGTCCTGCCCCTGGGGTCCTTGGCACAGCCAGACCGCGTGCACCCAGGTGGCGCTATCACTCCCTGCAGGACCCCCACCCACTCTCTGGAAAGGTCTGGACCAGATTCCTGTTGTGGCCCTTGGTCAGCAGCTGCCTTTCTGAGCAGTCTGCTGCGCTACTGGGGGTCGAAGGCTCTCAGGCTGAGGCCGCCTGTGCTGTGGCCGGGGCGGCCACTGCAGGGCTCTGTCCCATGGATGTGGACTGCTGGCCTCTGCCGGGAGCCTCCCCAGTCCCTCTCACGGGGCAGGACCTCCGGGCTGCACAGTGTCTGCAGTCAGGCTCCCAGGCTTAGCCGGGCCTTGCCGCACGACCCACATAACCTCATGGGGTGGACCACAGGGTGGCCCCTAAAGACATCTGTGCTGCACCCTGGGGTGGGCCCTGCAGCAAACGACAGGGTCTTCGTGAGAGAGACACAGGAAGAAGCCCCTGTGAAGACGGGGCAGGGACTGGCGTGACACAGCCGTGGGGACACTGTCCCTGAAGCCTCGGGACTGAAGCTCCAGAGCTGTGAGAGAGCAGATTTCGGACATTTCAAGGCACCAAGGTTGTGTGATTTTCCCTGGGCCGCCCTGGGAGAGACACATGTGGCAAGTTAGCTGCCTGCTAGAAGCAGTGTCCTCACCAGGGAGGGGATGATGGTGGCCGCGCCCCGACAGGGCGGTCCCTCCACAGGCCACACGCCCTCGGCCCTGGAAGGCAGGGCCACCTGGTCCCTTAGGTGCCACCTGGGCCTACAGAAGCCTCATGTGGCCTGGCCCGGGCCCCGAGCAAGCACTGCCGTGTCGGCCCCACTTCCTGGATCCCTGATCGGGCAGGCTGTGGCCTTAATGGGCCTGATTATCAGATAACTGCCGGCCTAATGGCACAGATAACGTGCAAATACGCCAGGAGGCCTGGCTAAAACGTTCTAACTGGGTCCTTGTCTTCCCCAGGGCTGATAAGATGGCAGGGGACCAGGACGAGGCCAGGAGGCGGTGCCCTTTATCGGCCCTGTGGGGAGGGGCAGAGGCCGCCCCGTTGCTCTGTGGCCCGCCCACAAGGGGCTGTGTCCTCTACCCGCGCACCAGGATGGCCTGGGTCCTAGCCAGGGCTCCGCAGGGTACTGGCCGGCACCCGGTCACCTGTTCCTGCCCAAATGGCCCTATGACATTGGCCCTCCCCTTGTCCCCCCCCCCCCCAATACAGATGAAGAAACAGGCCCTGAGAGGTCATGAGGCTGGCAGTGGGAGGGCAGGATCTGAGCCCAGGTCCCTGCTCTCCAGGGTGTACCTGGGTCTCTGGTGCCCCATTAGGCTGGCCCCAGGGGGTGGGAATGTGGGGAGTAGAAGAGGCTGCCTAATGGCAAGCTTGCTGGGCTCTCGTGGGTGTTGCTTCTGAGGCTGGGGGGAGCCCACCAGGGTTAGGATATACTGCCCATCCCTCCCATTGCCCCCACTGGAGGCAGGGGTCAAGGAGGAATCTTTCAGAACCCCAATGTGCAGACAGCCAGAGCCTTCAAGCCTCACGGGGTCTGCACACGCACAGGCCTCTGGAGCAGGAAGGGCCACGCCCCTCCCTGGACTTCAGCTCTGCTGCTGGGGCCACAGACAAGCCAGAGGCAGTCCGCTCACTGTCCGGGGCCTGCTTCTGGCTGGTCAGGCTGGGGGCCCCCTGCAGGAGACAGTGCTGTCCATCCGAGGCCAGCACCCACCTTCCCCAGGGGAGGAGGAGCAGTAAGTCGGTTCAGTCTTCCCAAGAGTGGCCAAGTCCCACCCAGACCTGGGGACACAGCGGGGACGGGGGTGGCTGGCCCAGGTCCCCCTCCAAGGGGGGGATATGGTGCAGCCCTGGGCTCCCAGTCGCCCCTGACTTGCTACAGCTGTGGGATCCTGAAGCCCCTCTAGCCCTGGTGGCCTCCTGGAGGAAGGGGCAGAGCACCCACCCACGCCGTACCACAACAAACTGCCGGCTCCCTAATCGCGCCCCAGGGCTGGCGGCCCCCACTCCCAGATAACAGCATGGCTGGTGCTTCCCGTGGCAGCCGCTCCATCTCCTGGGTATCACGCACCACCAGAGAGGACGGCTCCTGATAAAGACAGCCGTTCAGCATGAGGAGGTAGAACCCACCACTTTGGGCTTGCTGGGGGCAGGCCCAGGCCTGGGAAAGGCACGGAGGCCAGGGACCTGAGGGATGTGAGCTGAGGATCAGGCAACGGTCAGTCAGAACCCACATCCCTAGTCCAGGGAGGCTACCCCTGAGAGGCTGGGCAATAGAAAGGGTACCCCATGTGGGCAGTCAGGGCCATAGCAGGTGCCTGGCTCGGTGGGGTGAACATGGCTAGATCTCAGCCTCAGTTCACTCAGTGCATTTGTGCAGTACACAACCTGTGCAACTGTCCACGGTGGCCCTGGTGATGTTCTGCATCCAAACACTCAGATAACCTATTTCCAGCTCCCAGTTCCTGCCTAACCCCAAGCACAAGTCAAGCAGGTGTTAAAGCCCAGTTAGCAACTATCAGACACCCTTTCCCAACCAGAAATAAAACTGTATCCAAAAAAGTAGGGGGAAGGTGGGTGAAGCCACCTACCCCTGGCAGACTGGGTACTCGGTGAGAGCTCCATTCAAAACTGAGAATGAATTAAAGTACGAATGAGCAAGGAAGGGGCTGGGGGTGGGAGCTGACCAGGTAAGTGACAGACAGGAAGACACAGCTAATTTTAAACGGTGCCTAAAGCTCCAGAGGATCTAGACACTGGTGGCCTTGGAGATGGTCAGCTCCCAACTGCACTCACAGGAAACGTGGAGCCAGGGAGGCCCAGGAGTGCTCAAGCCACAGTGTGAGGCCTGGCCAGGTGGGACTGGAACCATCTTTCTTTGAACTTAACAAAACCCCAGGTGGGTACCTGGGGCAGAGCTGAGGGTGGCACATCCTCTGCCGTCAGAACTCCCAGGAAACATGGGTAGCAGTGGCAGCGCCGCTGGTGGGCCAATCAGGGCGGGCTTCCAGGTGGAGGTGTCCTCCGCCCTGGGAGCCTCCTGTGACCATGTCTCCATCTCCTCCTCCCAGCTCCAGAGAAGCTGGAGTAAGCAGAACAGCTAGGACTCCAGCTCCAGCAAGGTCCTGGAGGAGTCCTCCCTGCCTTACCTACCACAGCCCTGTCCCCACAGCTGGACAGTGGGGGAACGATGCCATCTGCTGAGAACTGACGCGGTCCTAATGGAGTTTCCAGCTTCTGTTTATTGAGCCTTAGCCAAATGCTTGCCATAAATCATAGGGATTCCTCCCAGCCACGCTGAAGCTGTCCCCCCACAGGTGTACAGGGGGAGAGACCGAGGTTCAGAGAGGTTAAAAGACCGGCCCGGGGTACAGAGTTGGCTGGTGGGATTTGGCCAGAGCCCTAGCACGCTCCCAGTCAGGGCCCTGACACCCTCTTCTGGGTTTTTCTGGGTGGAGGCAGGAGGCGATAGAGAAGAGAGGGTGGGGAGAGGCAGCTGGAGGGCAGTGGGGGGCAGTGGGCAGCCCCTGCTCTCCTGTCGTGGGCTGGCTCCTCCTGGTGTGGAGGAGGGGCAGGCCTGGGTGGGCCTCCCCACGGGGGTCGGGCCATCACTACCAGCACAGTGTCGGGACAGAGACTAATTTATTCTGGCAAACAACCCCACACATGTTATTTCCAGAACAAACATGCCACGCTGGGATTCAATTTCACCCCCAAAGCATGTGTGAGAGTCCAGATGAGAAAATTCAGCCTTTGCATGTTTACATGATTTAAACATCTATTTAGGTCTCAAACCGCTTCAATGGTGTCCTGAGGGGCCAGAGAAAGGAGGCAGGACTGGGCATGGCCACCCCAGGCCTGGCATGGGAGCCCAGTAGATGGGGTGGCGGCTGGGAGCACTGGGGTCTGGAGTCTACAAACAGGCCAGTCCTGCCACTGCCTGGCTCTCGCTGAGCCTCAGGTCACCTGTTGGGCTGGTGCCTCCGAGAGTAAAGATGGTGCCCATCAGCATGTGGGCCCGGCACACCCCCTCCCCTGCGCCTGGGTGTTTCCACACCTCTGGTCCTGCCAGGGCTGTGAAGGGCTGTCCTCAAACTCGGCCCTGCCCCCAGCTCTGTCCCACAGCCTGGAGTCCTTGGCGGCCTCCTTCAACAGCAGGCAAAACTGAGAAGGTTCTGGTCTCCCTGTGCTTCCCACTGGAGTGGCCCAGAGAGCTCAGATGCTCAGCAAGGGCTGCAGCCATGTGGCCAGACCCGAGCTCCTTCTTGAGGAAGGAGCCGGGGCTCCAACCCAGACCATCTGGCCCCGGAGCCCACAAGCCCAGACACCCCCAGGTCCTGCCGAACCACGGCCCACTGGCTGCTTGG